CGATGATGCGGATTCCGGTGAGAAGTAGCATGACAGTTAGGATGGTGCTAACGCTGCTGATGATGATTATAATGATGAAGGTGATGCGTGTGCTGATGATGATGATGATGATGGTGATTGCGATGGTAATGGGGATGTTGGTGCCCATGATGACTATGATGCTGATGCTAATGATACTGCTGACGATCATGATGTGGATGCTGCAGATGCTGCTGCAGATAATTATGATTATGCTGATACTGATGGTGATGGTGCTGCTTGGGGTGCTGCAGATGGCGATGATGATGATGATGCTGCTGATGATGATGATGACGACGATGACGATGACGGTGACGATGATGATGATGCTGATGATGATGATGATGCTGCTGCTGATGATGATGATGCTGATGTTGATGATGTTGATACTGATACTGATGATAATGATGATGATGATGATGATGATGCTGATGCTGATGCTGACGATGATGATGATGATGATGATGATGATGATGATGATGATGATGATGATGATGATGATGATGATGATGATGATGATGATGATGAGAGGGAGGAGGAGGAGGAGGAGGAGGAAGAGAAGGAGGAGGAGGAGGAGGAGCCGTTCACATGGAGAAGAAGGAGGAGGAGGATCTGGAGGAAGAGGGGAGCAGGAGGAGGAGGAGGAAGAAGAAGAATAAGAAGAAGGAGGAGGAGGAGGAGGAGGAGGAGGAATAATGATAGTAAGAATAAGGATTATAGTAATTAGAAATAGTTTCAGTGATATTAATAATCAGAAAAAGAAAGAGACGAGAAGGAGGAGGAGGAGGAGGAGGAGGAGGAGGAGGAGGAGGGGGCACTCAGAAGCTTAAGCGGCCCTATGGGAAGTCCACTCACTCCCTCTCAATCCCTCCCCCCTCCCCCGCCGACCCACGGGTCTTCCCCTTCAGTGGGGGCTCCAGGGTCGGCTGCCAGGGCTCCGGGGACGGCTGCCAGGACGGCCCGTCTGGGGTGTCGCCGCCGGTTCGTCTTCGGCCCTACCACCACCGCTTAAGCAGCATCCCTCGATCCTCGGTCCTCGAAGTCCTCGACCCTCGACCCGCGAATCGACCCCCGTCTCAAGGCTCCCGAGGCAGCGGGCACGGCTACCGAAACCGGCTTGCTCGAGTCGAACCCACTCTCACCCCTCTCCGCTCCTTGCCTCACTTCTGTTCCCCTCCCCTGCTCTGTCTCGACACCGCTAGTCTTGTGGCGCCTCTCGGCGCTCACCGCGGTGTCATCGTTCCGTCCGTAAGGTCGGGGTGATTCCAGCCAGGGAAGTTTCGCTGCGCATCCGGACAACATCCCATCCTCTTCCTAGAGGCCCCGTGGCCCTTCAGGACCCTGGGCATCCTGGACTCCCGTCCGATGTCTGCCGCCTGTTTTGCAATGCCACAGCGCCGCTGACAAGATCTCGGCCAGAGCTTCAGAAAGGACCCGTATGGGTTGCAAATCATGTAGGCCTTTTTCAGCACCCTGGTGATTCCCAGACTCACTTGTCTGCCGTCTACTGCCGTTTCGTGTGTGGTTTAGTGTGGCTGACGTTCTCCCTCTCCCTCGTTCATTCTTCAATTTAGTGCAACGTAGCGTAAGTTCGTCTAAGCCAATCATATAATACAATTCAGTGCTATTTCTTCCCATTTAGCACCATTGAGTACCATTTCGTGCCATTCAGTACCATCCGGTGCTGGAGGATTCTGATAACTCAGTCCTGCACGACACGGACTCGATGGTATGTATCGACTGCTACGATGCCCTAAACGAGGCCCCCGTGATCTACAGCCTAAACTTGGCCTTCGGCGGCAAGCTGGCGGAAGGCCGGCGGAAGCAAAACAGAGTCTAGTCCGCTGGCGGACAGTTTCAGCGGAAGGCCTGACTTCTTGTTCGGCCCCCTTCTCCTGCTCGTAGTTGGTGGGCGGCTGTTCCTCTCTCGGAGGTCTTCGAGGCGAGCGTTGAGCTGAAACAAACAGATCCCTCAGGCCGGATCGAGGCTCAGGGTTTCCCGAGACTCCCATCCTTCTGGACGCCCGAAATGGGTACGGAAAGAATGGGTACGATGCCCAACAGCAGTTCCTATTCATTTTGGACAGGACTTGCTGTCCGTGCCGCCGCGGTCTGTGTCCATTTGAGACAGAAGGCCACCCGCCCAACAGCGGCCGCTGTTGGTTTGGGACAACAGTTGTTGTTGGGCGTTGTACCCATTCTTTCCGTACCAATTTCAGGCGTCCAAAATCTTGATGCGGGATCTCGGGCTGGGTCGATCCCCGAGGGCCCTCTGTCAAGGGAAGGAAAAAGCCACCCGGACCGGACCATTGAATGTTTACTGAACGTCCCTGGGCGTTTACTAAACAGCCCTGCTCTGTTTGATTCCTTCTTCGCGCGCGTTTGCTAAACGACTTCGCGTGTCGGGGTGCTTATTCTGAGGGTTTGATTTTTTGATTTCTGCCCTGCGGTTCGAAAAGTGTAGGCAGCACGCCCCTGCGATGTTTTTTTCCCCCAAGGCGCCCGGGCGTTGAGGTCAGGGCCTCGCTCCAGAGGCCCTGACCTCACCGTCCTGGCAAAGAACCCCTCGGGCTATCGCAGGCAGGGGGGCAGTTCGGCTCAGCGTGTCGCGCCGCCGGTTCTGGTCCACCGCGCTTCGGCGCGACACGCTATCCACGTCCCCGGGCGTCAATGTTCCGAGCCTCCCCCAGCCTCCCGCCCCGCGGCCGCGGGGCGGCACGCTGTCCGCTCGCACGGCGCGGCGTGTCGCCGGGGCCACCGCCGCGACACCCTGAGCAAAAGTGCCCGACCGCAGGCCGTGGGCCCGACGCCACGGTTTGGGCTGCCCGGGGTCTTCCCCCGCCGCGGGCGGAGTGCCTTCCGCGGCGCTGTCGCGCTCTTTCCGCCCCCAGGCGTGAGGCCCCGTGGGGGCTCTGAGGCTCTGGCTCTTCCCCGCTGGGCCCCCTGGGCGGGCGGGGGCCGTGGTGGCGCTGCCCTGGGGCGTGCCCCAAGGTTCGGGGGCGGAAAAGAGGGGGGTGATGACTAGGGGGGGATGGATATCATGGCGTGGGCCATGATATTTCCCCAGATCTCATGGCGCATCTGCTAATTTCATTACGTCCCTGGCCCCCCCCGCTGGGCCGCGCACATGCCGCTGGTCATGATTTGCCCCCCCCTCTCTTGGACACCCCCCTCTTGGCCGCTCCCGAAAGGTGGCCCGCCTTTTCCCTCTTTCTCTGTCTCCTGGGCTGTAAGTCCCTTCAGCTTCAGCTTCAGCACGCAGCTCATCACGACGCGTCCAAGCATCATGCCCGGGGCCTCGGCCGTACAGAGAAGGAATCGGCCGATCGGGGGTGCGCAGCGCATCGAAGAAGGAGCCAGACGGCATAGACAGATGCTTTGGGAGCCTCGCGCGGATTTCTCGGAGCGGCGCCGGGCCCACCTGCCGGTGCCTCCGAGGACGCCCTGGGCGCGCTGCGAGCGCCCGGGAGGGGGGGGTCAGCGCCGATCCAAGAAATCCGCGCGGACCTCCAGCAGTTTATGTGTATGCCAGCTTTTGCGCTTCGAATGTAGGAGGATGGTTTAGATTTGCCCGAGGGACCGTCACGCAGCAGCGCCTTCTGTGATGATTCATGAATTGGGTGCCAGGCCTGCTCGGGAGCGTTTCCGTCGTCACTTAGATTCGTCGACCGTCGCCTCCCAGAGCATCCCCCGCAGCAGTAAAGGACATGCCAATAGCTGTTCCTCGTTTTTTTGCTGCTCATCGGCATCCTACATGAAGGGTGCCCTTTCGCTGGGGTGACCCTTGGTGCTGGGCCAGATGAGTCACATGCGGGCGTCCCTCCAGCGCTCCAAGCGGCGCGCGGAGGGGCTGCGTTTGGAGAGGGACAGCGGCGCCTCGAAGGCCGCCCTTGCCACAACATGCCGCCCGTACGTGAGGCGCTCCGGGAAGGGCCTTGCTCTTGGCACACCTCGCCTTCGGCGGAAGGCCCGTGGAAGCTGGCGAGAGCAAGTGCTGGCGGGTCCGCCGGCAGAAACAAGGGTTATGTCGGGCGTGTCCCCCTACAGGGGGATTCTCGACGATAAATGGAAAAATACCCATAAAATATTCCAAACATGTAACAAAAAAACATACACCAAAAATAGTCCCCGGACTCTCTTTGGATTATTTTTGGATTATTTTTGGGGTATCTTTTATTTTTCGTCGAAAATACACCTGTAGGGGGACACGCCCGACTTAAAACAAGGGTGAGACGTCAACGTTGCTGGACTGGGGTGTCCCGGAGCGAGCCACCTTGAGATTCGACGCCTCGAAGCAAAACACCTTCGAGAAGAGTCATGGCCCGGAGCCCTAGATCCAATCTTCGGTGGCATCTCTCGAGCGGGATCGATCCGTGAGGGTCCTGGGGCCCCGAGGCTCGCACCCGCAATGCCCCGGCCAAGCCAACCACGAGCGTTTTTGACAGGGCGACCTTTGGTTGAGGGAGAAAGCTAGTAGATTATGACCAAGATGTCGCGGGATCCTGTCGATGCCGATCTTGGCAATGATCCATGTCGGCAGTCGCCGATTCTCGAGGATGATCCGCGAATGGAGTCGGACCAAGATCGACACGACGTTTCCGCATTCAGTCTCGATCATGGTCCCATGGTCTCCCCTCCATTTGTTCCGCCCGCGTGCCCGCGTTGCGCGATGTGCGTCGATTTGGCGGGTCTCCATCAGCGCTGCGCCAGTGCAGTGCAAATGCTGACAATCTCGCTGACACGTCGCCGCGCCGATGCGCTCCGCCCGGCTGTTCGGACATGTGTGCAAACAGTATTTAAACAACCGCTTCCGCTTCTCAAACCGGTTCCTGGTCTCGAGCGCAAGGATCCGTTGCTTATTCGGCTGCACGTGCGAGTAACATTTCGCTAGAGTGACCTTCGGTGCGGGCACACTTGGGCTTCCCAGAAGACTCGCTGCGATGCCACAGCAGCGGCTTGCACGCTCCAGTTCGGCCTCCCCGCGGCCCCCGAATGCTGCGCACCAGAGGGCACCGTTACCCAGGGTCACTCTTACGTGCAGCCGACTTCTTCAATAGCGGGCTCTTGCCTTAGAAGCGCCTGTGGGCATGCCTCGGCTCAGCCAGGGCTGTGGATTGCGTGGCTCGCGCAGAGCTTCGTTTCGCACAGCGTCGCGTGGGCTGCGTGTGGGCGCCGCGACATGGCGTGCGCGCGGCAGGGACGCCGCGGGTCATCCCCCCAAGCTCCTCGCGTACGCCAAAGGAGGCACTTCCAGCATCATTTCCCGAGTTCCTTACGTGGGACTTACTTGCGCTGAGGGTCATTGCCCGAACTCCTCACCTCTCAATTGGGTTGGGTGGGGCACCTCGCCCGGCACAGACCGCGGCGCAAACGCCCCGTGCGAAATAGGCGAGACGTCTCACCAGAGGTATGATGGATTGATTTCTGGGGGTAAATTTACCTAGGCCGCTCTCCTGGGGCGTTTTGGCGCCGTCCAATCGTTTTTTTTTCCATCGAAAACCGGCCGCGGGCTGGAAAACTATTTTTTAATCGTTCTCCCCCAGTCAGAAAATTAGGCAGACATCGCAGAATACTACTTGTTTCATCGTTCTCTCCCATTTTTTATTATTCGTCATCCCACATTATGAAGGCCGCTCTCTTGGGGGCGTTCTGGCGCCCTCCTGGATGTCCCCTGGGCTGTCTGGTGGGGCCGCCTCGCGCCGCCTCGAAGCGCCGCGCGCGCCGTGCCCGGACGGACGTCGGGGGCCCCGCCGCCCGCCGCCGCCCGCCGCCGCCCGCCGTCGTCGCCGCCCGTCGTCGTCGCCGTCGTCGCCGCCGCCGACGTCGCCGTCGACGCCGTGGTCGTCGTCGCCGCCGACGTCGCCGTCCTCGTCGTCGCCAGGCAGGCTCCCCCTCCTCCTCCCCCTCCTCCTCCTCCTCCTCCTCCTCCTCCTCCTCCTCCTCCCCTCCTCCTCCTCCTCCCCTCCTCCCTCCTCCTCCTCCTCCTCCTCCTCCTCCCTCCTCCTCCTCCTCCTCCTCCCTCTCCTCCTCCTCCTCCTCCTCCTCCTCCTCCTCCTCCCCCTCCCCGGGCACGCGGGGCGCGGCCCAAAGGAAGAGCAGCTGGCCTCCATCCTGGAGGCGCTGGAGCCGGGCAGCCGTGCGCGCCGGCCGCCGGAGCAGCTCCTGGGGGTCCAGCGGTCGAGGGAAGGCCCGGGGCCTCTCCGCCCTGCTCTCTCCCCCCCCTTCCTGCCCCGCCTCCCGGTCTGCCCCTCTTCTGCGCCCCCCCACTCCCCCCCCCCTCCTCCCAGGCCCCCTCTCCTCCCCGTTCCTCCTTCGCCTCCTCCGCCTTCCGCCTCCTCTTGCTCAAAGGACCCAGACCTTCGCTTCTTCATAAAATTTTGGAGAAAGTAGTAAAATCTTGACATTCTGAAAAAGAAAGAAGAATGTGGCAAAACGTAGACATTCTTCATACAGTTCTCCCAAAACAGGTTTTCTCCATTAAAAAAGAAGAATTCAGCGATATATCAAGTTTTTTTAGGACAATCTTCATTTTTTGTTTGAAGAATTCTATGTGCGTGTAAAGATAGAATGTAAGAAAAAAGCGTTGTAAGAAAACAGCTGTGTATGAAAAATCGCGGCTATCTCCCACCAGCCCATCCAGAAACGATGACCTGGCGAGTTGAGGTGAATTAGCAGGGAACATGCATGAGCAAGGAAGTGGATCGCTGGTATAGTTTGGAAGAGGAGGAAGACGCGGGGGAAGAGGAGGAGGAGGAGGAGGAGGAGGAGGAGGTGTGTGCAACTCGTGCTTGATTGCTCTCTGTGACACCTCGCCGCCCATCAAACACGTTGAGCACCCCCTGCCCCCATGGGGCGCTCAAAGTGTTGGGCCCCCGCCGCGGGGCAAAGCTCCAGCGATGTGCTGGGGCCATGCCTGAAGCCGACCTTGAGCTGGGTGCTGGCGGGCGACCTGTACCCGTCCACAGACATGAAGGGGGCATTCCACCAGGCACGCAGGGAGAATGATCTAGGGGTCATGTGTGTTGAGTGTTTGTGCCCTTGCTCGGCATTTCAATTGTGATGCGAAATGGGGGGTGCACCGCCCATTTCGCATCTCAATTGCAATGCCACGGTGAACGTATTATTCTCCTTTGCCCCATTGCGGACGAGAGAACAGCATCAGCATGTCGAGCACCGACATGCTGATGCTGTTCTCTCGTCCGCCGCCCCACCGCTCAGGGCTACATGGAGTCGTGCGCCTTGACCCTCCAGAAGCTGATGGAGACGGACCCGCGAGGCGGCCACCCTCCCCTCGTTCGTGCCGTCGTGGAGTTTCGTCGTGGCTGGACGACGTCGTTCGCTGTAGTGTCGCCCTGCCTCCTCCGTCGTTGGCAACCCTCCCTCGCCCAGTTCATTCCCGCCCTAGCTCCCTCCCCATCCCGTCCCCACCTCACCCCCTCCATGACCCACTCCAGCATGATGCCATCCACCCCTGTTACGCCTATAGGCGGGTACTTCCTGCAGGAGGACGTGAGGAGCACCGTCGAGCACTTGTGCAACGACGACACGCTCAAGAAGCTCCTCATGAAGAAGGCGGCGGAGCTCGGAGATACGGAGAAGGACAGCTGCCCTTGTTTTGGGACTGAGGAAGGGGGAGGAGCAGAGAGAGGTAGAGAGAGAGAGAGCGATATCTAGATATATGTGTGTATAACTAGAGGGAGAGAGAGAGAGAGAGAAATAGAGAGAGATAGAAAACAACAACAGCAACAACAACAACACCACCACCATCAACAACAACAACAACAACAACAGCAACCACAACGAGTAAGAGAGAGAGAGGAGAGAGAGCAGAGGGAGGAGGGAGGGGGAACGACTTGGAGGGAACTGGTAGGACAATGCAGGATCGCTCGATCCAGAATCGATCAAGTCGAGGTCGAGGATTGTATCGTTCGGCTGGTTGCCACGGGGTGTATGCACTCAATTGGCTTCTCCTTATAAGGGGAGGCCAATTGAGTGAAGCGTCTTAGAAACATGCGCCCGCGCGCGGAATGCAATCCGAGGGCACGATCGAGCAGGTCGCCTTCCGCTACCGCGTGATGTGCAGCATCTTGCGGGTGAAGTACGATCAATGCCAGGACATGTTCTTGTCCAGCGCTCCCTCTCTCTCTCTCTCTCTCTCTCTCTCGATCTCTCTCTTGTCAACGCCAGAAGGGAGGCGGCTAAGAGGTGTGCAAGTTTTTGCACCTCTTAGCCGTCCCCCTCTGACACGTCCTTCCAACCAGCCCAGATTTATCGGCCAAGGCTCGCCCGAGCACGCGCCCGCGAAGCATCACCCCCCTCCCTCCTAGGCCTCGAAGGGGCACTTCGCGAAGATGCCGAAATGCATCCAGGATATTTTGCTGGTGATGCTGGGGAAGTCGAGAGCGTGCCGTTTCGCAGCAATTCCAAGCATGAGCGTCCTGGATTCATGTTCGAATTTAGTGTCCGATGTCAGGTTATTTTTTTTTCTGACGTCCGGTTTTTTTCTCTGACGTCATGTGTTGTTGTTGTTGTTGATGTTGTTGTTGTTGTTATTGTTGTTGTTTGGTTTCTTATGTCAGGTTTTTTTCTGACATCAGGTTTTTTTTTGTTCTGACGTCATGTGTTGTTGTTGTTGCGTGGTTTCTTATGTCAGTTTTTTTTTTTTCTGACGTCAGTTTTTTTCTGATTTTTGTTTTCCTGGCGTTCGTGTTTTTGTTTCCGACACTAGTTAGGGATAAGAGCGAGGGATGGTTCTGGAGGAGAGTTGTTTGCAACGTTTGCGACTCGAGGGCGATGGTGTCGCCTTGTCCGTGGCCTCTGATCGCGAGCATGCCCGCCCTGCCCAGCCGGCCCAGGTGATCTCTCGCCAGATAAGCAGCACGAGTCGCGCGGCTGGATCCGCTCCTACACCAGGGACGCACCTGCCATCGCGCAGGCCAGCCAGCATCGGGCAGCATAGAGCAATAATGTTCGTGACACTGCTATAGCAGTGTCACTAACAGTATTGCTCGATTTATGTGTGGCATCTAGATGTATATATACATGATGGTCGGTTCGCTTCCTCGGCCTCTCGTCCACTGACTCTTGCCCGTGTCCTTGCTTCCCTCGCCCTCGACCGCTGCGAGGCAAGAGAAGCCCAACCCGTTCGCTGCATTCAGGAGCTCGGACGCAGCGGAGACCGATGATGAGGATGACGACTCACCAAATTCGTCACATGCCGTCTCGCGCTACTTCGACGGTCGCCAGGCGCGACGGGCGTGCGTGCCCCCTCCTCCTCCCTCCTCCCGTTCCTTCCCGCCTCCCTCCTCCCTCGCTCCCTCCCTCCCTCCCCCTCCTCCCTCCTCAAACCTCCCTCTTGCATCATCCCTCTACCTACCTCCCCCCACCCTTGGCGCGCTAGATAGGGTGGGTCGGCGCACGCTGCACAGGCGCTGACGCTGATGGCCAACGGTATGACCGAGGAGGCGAAGTTGAGGGCTGGGCCAAGGCTCGCAGGGGGGAAGGGAGGGTCGTATGTTGTCAATGGCAATGGCCGTGAGCACGGGGATGGGAATTGACCGTCATGTATAGGATCTCCAACGCAGTTGAAACAGCATGGAGGTGTGAGCAATTGATGTGTCATGGAGGGATGGGGGGGGACTGAGACGAGCGCCGCATAGGGGCTTCGTGGTGGCGACGCACTACGATGGAGTGGAGACCGAGCTGGTGATCCGCAACGACTGCTTGGGTGAGGACCCTCTCCGAATGCTAGCCGCATGGATTCCCTTTGGTTTCACCCTTGGGTGAAACCAAAGGGTCAGCGTCCCCCTTGCCATCGTCCTCCCCCTCATCCTCGTCTTCCCTCTCGTCCTCCTCCACCTCCTCCCCATCCTCCTCCTTGAACGCAGGGGAGTCAATTTGGCTATAGCTAGGCAAATCGACCCCTTTGTTTTCCACTCCCCCCACCAGCTTGCGCCTTCGGTTGCTAAACAGCCAATCTGTTGACGAAAGATGCGTCTACAGGACGGCACAGTGGCACCCGAGAAGGAGATCCCCGTGCCCAAAAGAAAAGCTAAAGCTAAAGCCAAAGGAAAAGGAAAAGCAACACCAAAACCGAAAGCTAAAGGCCGTGGCAAAAGAACATGCGAGAACGACCTCGCCACCCCTCCAGCCAAGCGGAGCCGTGTAACCAGCGACGACGACAGTGATGGAGATGCAGATGATGAGGAGGATGAGGGTATCGCAGCTGGAGATGAAGTGGCTGCTCTAGAAGACGATTACGGTAGGAAGGAGGTCGCAGAGTTGGCAGCTGCGCTGGCTGATCACACAGACACGCCCCCCAAGCACACGGCCAAGCCCATGCCCAAGGTCAGCCTCAAGAAGCCAGCTGCAAGCACGCCAGTGCAGTCCGACGCCGCAAGTCGTGGAGCCGCCATCAAGAAGCCAGCAGCTAAAGAGAGCTGTGGTGCACCAGATGCTGGAGGCGACCAAGTTACGTCAGAGGTCGCATCTGCTGCTCACTCGAATGTTACCCGTGTCTATAGATATGATTGGTGTCATGTCGTCTCGTTCCCGCGCCCGTGGTATATTCGCCCCTGCAGCCCTAGCTGTACGCCCATCTCTTTCTAGCAATTGTTTCACGGGCATCCCCATCGTTAGTTGCTCAATACTTCGACTCCTCAGGTCGTGCCGATGCGCTTGATGGATACTCCGTCCCACAATGGTGGCCGCTGCATCTTCCTGTTGACAGCTGGCAGCGACAAGGCGCAGGCTACAATTTCCCTTTTTTTGAGGCGCTTTCCAGAGCACGTCCGAAACGTCGCCCTCCCCCCCCCCCTGCACCTCCCCCCCCCGATTGCGAATTGCAATACCACCCTCCATGAGCGTGCCGTGTCGCAACGCCTGTCCTACAAACGAGGTTGCAATGATGTTGCGTACCGTTCTGTGTTCTGGCGTCAAGTGTTTGTGGTCTTATCAGGTTTTTGTTATGACGTCAAATGTTCTGTCATGTACCGAGTGCTGGTTTACGTCAGCTGTGACGTGCCGCAACATGGCGCTGCAACTGATTTCCGCTATCAGCTGGTTAACTGCACCAAGACGGCGGCGGACGAGCATTCCACTACTCCTCAGGCTGTGCGGCTCCCACCCCGATGGCATGCATATTCTCTGGGTTCGAATGCGTGTATCAACGCGTATCTAGCTAGACAT